CTAACCTTAGCGGCGTAATTACTAACAACGTGTTCCCGGGCTTGCCGTTACGTGGCCGAAGGATGCGCTGGAGACGGGAGGATAAAGATACCTGATTAAAGAGACCTCTCAGGCTCCACGACAGGTAGAGACGCATGAATAATTCACACTATGAAAAGTAAAGGTGAAGTAGCAAAACTACTTTGGGTATATCACAGAGGATGAAGGTGTATGATCATAAACATCTTATTAAAAGCAGAATTAGAGAGGGAGAGGAAGGGGAAGAGGGAAGAGGGATTCATTCCAGAAGCAGCTATGGAGAAAAGAGAAAAAAATTTGTTTTGCAAACATATTTAGAGGCCAAACCTCCGTTAATCTCAAAGGAAGTTGAAAATTTTGATTCTAAATGTTTCAGAAAATTGGATTTACTTCAAGTGTACCCATACCCATGTAAACACTCAGGTTTTTATTATCCCACCAGCGTCTCTGCAGCTCAGTTTAGTCTCTCCCCACAACATTATTGCTTTTGGGTTTGGGATTAGCCTAAAACCCATATCTGACTGACCCACAGTTCCTCCTCTGTTGGTTCTGGCTCGAGCCACATCTGGGATTTCAGTGCCGGCTACGCCAGCCGTGCCCGTGCCCCGCTCCCACCTTCAGCACATCATCACTGCTTCAGGGAATCGGACCCTGCTCCCGCTCCTGCCCGCACACTGTATTTCACCCTTTAATTTGTGTCTATTTTCTGCTCTCTCCAGCTTTGCTGTGCTCTGCCAAACACTGTCTCCCCTCTCAGAACAAGTCTCCTGGAGCAGTGCTTTTTTCCTTCTGTAGCAATCTCTTCCTACTCACCCCTCTATTTTTCTGGAGATTGGTAAGGGGAACAGTAGAATAACAAGGACAAACTCTTTGTCCGCTGTACCGTACCGTGGGCTATCCGCCTGCTGCAGAGTTCAAGGACAAACTCATTTCATCACTGGCCTTTGCAGGCACACAGCCAACACTGCCCAATAGATGCTGTTTGCCACTACCCTGAAAACAGTTTCTTTGTTAAAGAAGGAAAAGCTGACAACCTCCCTTCCAGCATACTCCCTCGGACACTGTGCAGGGCGGGCAGCGTCCCATCCGCACCTCCCACACTGCCTCCATGCATTCGTTTCCCACGGAGCTGCGCAGGCAGGAGCATCGCTATGGGCATCACTATGAGCACTGGCTACGAGCATCGCTATGAGCACTGCTACGAGCATCACTATGAGCATTGGCTATGAGCATCACAATGAGCATCAGCTGTGGGCATCACTAGGAGCATCGCTATGGGCATCACTAGGAGCATCGGCTACGAGCATCACTGTGAGCATTGCTACAAGCATCACGACAAGCATCACTATAAGCATCACCATGAGCATTGGCTATGAGCATCACCATGAGCATCGGCTATGAGCATCAGCTATGAGCATCACGACAAGCATCGCTACGAGCATCACTACGAGCACCGATATGAGCATCGGCTATGAGCATCATGACAAGCATCGCTACGAGCATCACAATGAGTATCGATATGAGCATCGTGATGAGCACTGACTACGAGCATCACGACAAGCATCGTTACGAGCATCACCATGAGCACTGGCTGTGAGCACCACAATGCGCATCAGCTATGAGCATCATGACAAGCATTGCTACGAGCACTGCTATGAGCATCACGACAAGCATCGCTACAAGCATCACTGTGAGCATCACAATGAGCATCAGCTACGAGCATCACAACAAGCATCGCTACGAGCATCGCTACGAGCACTGCTATGAGCATCGCATCCCACACAGCAGCACCAGCTCCCACCAACACCAGGCACAGCACGGGGCCCCCATTCCTTCGCATCCTCCCTCCCTGAGCACAAGGCGGCCGCACACCCGTCATGGGGTGTTTCTACCTGGTTTTGCAGTTCCCCCTCATTTAAGCCTCTGTACCAGTTCTCAGCCTCTCTGGCTGCTCCCACACCCCCGCCAGCTGGCCCAGGCAGAGCCGGGCTCCAAATCAAAGACCTTCACTGAGTCTTGCCGACGTTCCTTCCTCTGCTCTTTACATGCGATTCATTTTAAATATCAAGATCTCGGCCCTGATCTTCAGGGCACTTAACGATCTGAGCTCTGAATAGCCATAAAATCATGCAGAGCTCTGTGAGGGTGGTAGTTACAGCTCCGCCTCTCTTGTACCTGCTGTAATACAAAAAAGTCCTATTTGTAAGTGAGACGGGACCTTTCCAGCTTTCAACACAAAAATAAACACGCGCTGAAAGACAGGACCGTTGCAAAGTTTACTCATTCTGCTCCAGAAATACAGAAAATTGCATTCATTTTGCTTCAGAGAAAGAGGGATTTGGCGGGGTCATGAGCAAAATCCAACCATGCCAAGCCTTGCTGAACACACAGTTTTCTCTTTAGAAACCAAGCCAAAGAAAGGCTTATCTACACTGCTAAACAAAAGTGTGGCTGCAATGCCATGGAAAATCCGTACGCTGCTTAATACTGCCACTGCAGGTACCAGCAGCAGAGCCTGGTGCCACAGACTGTGTACGTACATTAAAGCACTCTACATACTGGATGTAAGACTCATGGCTGAACGTGTTGGTATTCCAGTTGTCCACCTGAGTCCTCTCTTAGAAACAGCTACCTCTGTTTCAGTGCTCCTAGGCTGGAGGCACTCCATTTTTCAAGGTCCGGGGCTTTTAAAAAACAACAAAACCAACAAACAAGTTGACAAAAAAAACCCCACAAACTTGGAGGACGGTATCTTTTTACACCATCTCTCCACCCTGACTGTCCACCCAGCCCATGCTGGTGACACAGAGGAGGCTGGCTCGCTTGACTTTGCCCCCAGATATGAGAAGGTCCCAGCACCGGGTCCTGGTGGAGCCACCGGGAGCTCAGCCCTAGCCCCACCACCGCTGACTCGGGGACAGGTCACCGCGGCACTCGGTCAGGTTCCCAGCGTTTCTGATGGCTTCCTAAAGGGCAGGTTCGCTTTTCTGTAGCACTTTGAGGCTGATTTGTGAAAACACCTTTATTACTGTTATTTGCTCTTAATTATGATTCCTACGTTGATTGTTTTTCCACTGGAGGTAACAACAGCTTGCAGGAACCTATAGAGAAGAGTGTGATCTCCTCAAAAACATTAAAGAAAAATCCATACTATACTTGAGTATACCGTTTTTCTCTTCAATGCAGTTGGCAGCAAATCAAAGATGACAAAAGGAGGAAGAAGAAGGTATTTTGTATTTTCAAGAGAAAGCTGGAAACAAATATATAATGTCCATCTTACTTACATTACTTGTGTGCATATAGAAATGTAACCATTGCTCTCCCAAAGTGACGGCCTCCCAACAGCACAGCCCTTTGATTTGGGCAACCTAGTGACCAAATGTCATGCTGGCCTTTATCAAAAGTCATCAAAAGGCTTTATACAGTTAAATCTTTATTCAGCACGATGGATAAAATCAGGAGTGTTTGTGTTTTCAAATCTGCCACGAAGAAGATTATGAAATATATTTGATATAAAATATGTTAGAAACCACAATTTCAGTTTTCAACAAGCAAGAAGCTGCAGATCGGCACGACCCTTGCACAGATCTTCACCGTCTGTCCCTGCACTCTTTGAACACTTTTAATATTTCCTCCATCTCCTTTGCTTCTGACAAGCAAGTCAATACAGCTCTTGGTAGCTTTAAGGAGGAGTGTGCAGGTCTTCAAGCACATTAATGGCACAGAGGATAAAAGAAGTGGTGTTTACCAAAAGCAAACCAAACCAGACGAGAAACTTTAAACTGCCGTATGTCAAAAGAGACGTGTGTGAACTTTCCTTCAGTTTGAAGGTGTCTGTGTCATAAAATTTTCAGCAATTTCCAGACAGAGCTGGAACACTCGGCAGCATAAATTCAATCAGAGTATCTCATTCAAGACAGGTACGGCAGCAGGCAGAGACGCTTCAAAGGGAGCCTCCAGCTCCACTTATGGATTTCCCCGGCACGGCTGACCACAAAGTATGTTATGAGACTTTTATCTTAGCCGTGGGTAGAGCTGGTGAGCTTGAGGTACCCATGAAGGAACCAGCTGAGCTGGATGAGTGAGAGCTTCTACACCAAAAATGCGTATGTGAACACCCACAGCACAGGTCCATCCATTGCCGACCCTTCAACACTCCACAACCATGCTCGTCCCTTGGTGTGATGGATCAGATAAATCACACCTGAGCTGACACCTACTAATTCCCAATAAACGCCAGTTTTTCCCATGGAACGTGACTGGGAAGGTGTGTTCGGGACTCCGCGGTGCCTCACAGCTGGCGAGGGCTGGCCACCCTCTCCATGGCCACGTGTGCCCAGGTCGGGCAGAGAAACAGTCCCCCCCGGCCCCACCGCAGCATCCCCCCTCCATTAACAGGGCTCCTAATGTCACAACGACTTTAGAGGGATTTCCCCTTATTAGGAAAGAAGCTCCCAACTTCCATTCCAAATCTGATCGCTTTTCGATGGTGATTTGCAATGCGTCCATGTGAATCTAAACACAGCCCCAAGACTTCCTCCGGCTTTCAGGAACGGCACTGCCTCTCCGCTCAGAGCAACGCACCCCGGTTACACGACAGCGAACGAAGCAGCTTTATTGCACAGTGCAGCACAACGCATCCGCGGAGGCTCCAGCCAACGAGGCTTCACGGAGCGACTATCCGAAAGATAACCGCGTTATCACTGCACTGCTCAGGAACACTGCTGGCATGGGAAACGCAAAGCCCACAGATGTTTCGGGAGCTTCCCTTTGGGTCATCAAACGCAAAGCTGCTGCCAGCAGCCAGACCGAGCGAACAGGAGCTGAAACGCTCCGAAGGCACTTGTAACGAGTTAAAGCAAACGTCATAAAATTTGAGCTGATTTTTTAAGGCAGCATGGGAAGCGTGGCTTGGTTGGAAGTACACAAATACACAACATATGCTTCAGCAACAGAATGGGGAGATAGAAACATAAACACACCTGTTAACGTCTGATCCATCAAGTTGGTTGCCATGAAGGTCACCGCTGGTGCAGACACAGCAGTTACGCGGGTGACTTGCGTCGGCATCAAAGGACCCATGTGAGAATCCACTCTGGAGGCAGAACCTGCAGTCAAACCATAAGAAAACCTTTTTCTTTTTCCCCAGTAAACAAAAATGCCCTTAAAAAACTAAAAATGCCCTTAAAAAACTCACTTTTTTTCCAGCCGTATTTCACAGAATGCTCTTTTAATCTCCTGCTAAACATTTCTCTCTACCCTAAACCAATAGGGTTTGTGTTTAGTTGAATTACTGGTCTAGGCTGGCCATGACGTCCACCGATTCTCAGCAAGTACACATCAGTGGAAATTTTAAACTAATAAAAATGTAGCCTTCAAAATAAGAACTTGCAAGGATACATTAATGCTTTCAGAACAGATCACAGCAAGATCAGTTTTCTTATTTAAGACTAAATAACACACCTCTGGTCTCTCATCGTTACTCATCACAAACTCTGTGTCCCACTCCATCCATGGGAAATTATTTTGCCAATAATTTAAAAGAGCAGCTTTATCCAAGGGAATCACAGTCTGTCAGACAATCCACAAAACAGAAAATCACTAAGTTGCTCATATACGTCATTCATGATAAAGTAGCAATGCAGGTCTGCTGCTAAAAGTATGCTAATTAACCAGGCTACTTCATCCCTAAGAATCTGTGGCAATTGCTGAATTTGAGGTCAAACCTTGAGCATCAGTTTCCCATTGACTGTACATTTAGACACGAAACCATTTTTTAGAAACTGGAAGGCCCAAACCACATCATCTCATTTCAGACGTAAATTCGGGGGTCCCACCAGCAGGCCCCAGACCCTGTTTAGAAATCACCACTCCAAAACTGAGCCGGCAGTAGGGACACTGCCCCAGTTTAAGGCAGACTCTGGGAGTAACATGGTATTTCCCAAGCACAATCCCAGCTGCAGAATTTACTGCCCTTTCCTTTCACTAACTACTCCTGTGCTGTCGGACACTTCTCATCCCAACTCCTCTGCGTTTTGCAGTCATAGGGATCATTTCTGGAACCTTCACTGTGTTAGAAAAACTCACTCACGCACCCGAAACCTCTTCATTGATTTTTATTCCTCGGACTCCAGGTGCCAAAGCAGATGATGAAACCCAACTCTCACCAACACGGGAACGCCGGTTGCATTTTTGAATGCAGCTGTAACATCATTTTATCATTAAAAAGGGCACTTTTTCCTCCTGAAAACTGGAGTCTTATGTACCGTGATGACACGAGAGGGTATCTCCTCCTCGCCCTGGGGTGTGGAGCCGGGCAGAGGTACCATCCCCTCCGCAGCCACAGCTCCACCGCGCACCCCGGCTACCCGCGCTTGGAATGGCACAAGACATTCAAAAGAGGGGTATTTTAGCAACAATATAAATAATGATGGTGCTAATTATCCCAATGAAGCATGCATTTTGCTGTTAGGCAGACGTACATTCCATTGAATACAACCCGAATTACCTGTATGAGTAAAAATACACACCATGTAATTCATGGCGATCTTTTCCTCCAGCCCCTGCTCTCCCACCCCAGCGACCAGGAGACAGCAGTGGAAGCCAGAAACTCTCCAGGAAAAGATAAATCTGAATATTTTGTAGTAGATTGTTCAAATGAAGAAGAAAATAGAAATTGGGGCTTCAGAAAGCCTAAAGAAAACCCAGGTTACACCACTCGGAGACTGCCCAGCAGCATTCCCATGGCCCTGCCATCTACTTCTGCCTTCACCCAGAATCCCTAAGCCCAGAGCTCCCAGTGATGGACAAAGGTCTCCCTCAGAAACAGAAGCTAATGCTGCTATTTTAAAGGCTTTCCTGGTGGCCCAAGCCATGTCCAACATCTGCTTCTGCCCAGATGGAAGTATGAAGTCCACAATTACTACTGAACCCAGGAAAGCCCACCTCTTCTACCAGACCTGGTGACATTCTCTACAGAAATGCCATTCCAGCGACCGCGGGGCTATTTTCTTTCCTAGCCAGCATGTTCTCAAAGCCGCCATTTCAATGCGCTTTCTCATATCATCAATTCCGTGTTCCTGAAACAGACGGAAATTCAGGCTATCACCGGACTTTGTGGGATTCACTCTCCTAACAGGTGAAGCAGAATTTAAAACATAGTATATAATTTCAATCAAATTCCATTTTTTTTAATAATCATTCACAACAACAGAAATAGGTATAAAATAAAGAATCTTATATTCCAACTCTAACCATTCTAGGATTCTATGAAATAACATTTTATAAAATGAGAAAGTCATATTCCATGAAAGGGTTAACATGGCTAAAGAACCATCCAGGGAAAAGTAAAGCTTTGCAAAAACACAATCTTAGGAAAAAGTAGGAGGTTCACGAATCTTTAGGACCTGAGGTCAGAATGCCACGTTCATTGAATACCCAATAATGCATTTGCATGATACCAACTTGCTATTAGCCAGGGCATCTTACAGACATTACTGGGTAAAGGATGATTTATTAATTTTAAATGCAAATGAAACACTTCTGTCAACCACGATCCCCCTCTGGCAAGGAAAAAAGAAATGAGTTCCCAGATGTGCTGAATGGAACAACTGGGAGCACAACTGTAATTTTTCCATATGACCAAGTGGCAGAGGGTGGTTAGTCCCATCTGCGGGGGGGGTTGCCCCCATTAGCCCCCTCTGCTCCTTCACCCCTCCGGGGAGCTCCAGCCCAGGGCTCAGAGCAGTGCATGAACACAGCATCAAGCAGAGTGTGGCCAGCAGGTGGAGGGAGGTCATCCTCCCCCTCTGCTCTGCCCTGGGGAGGCCACATCTGGAGCACTGTGTCCAGTTCGGGGCTCCCCGGGTCAAGAAGGAGAGGGAACTGCTGGAGAGGGTCCAGCAAAGGGCTACGGAGATGCTGAGGGGAGTGGAGCATCTCTCTGCTGAGGAAAGGCTGAGGGACGTGGGGCTGTTCAGTCTGGAGAGGAGAAGACTGAGGGGGATCTCATCAATGCTGATCAATCCTTCAAGGGAGCGTGCCAGGGGGATGGGACCAGTCTGTTTCCAGCGGTGCCCAGTGACAGGACAAGAGGGAATGGGCACAAACGTGACCATAGGCAGTTCCATCTCCACCTGAGGAGTGCCTTCTCTGCTGTGAGGGCGGCAGAGCAGTGGCACAGGCTGCCCAGAGAGGTGGGGGAGTCTCCCCCTCTGGAGCCATCCCAAACCCGCCTGGACGCCGTCCTGTGCCACTGCTGGAGGTGCCCCTGCTCTGGCAGGGGGTGGCACTGGGGGAGCTCCAGAGGGCCCTTCCAGCCCTCACCAGTCTGTGTGAATCTGTGATGCCCCCCGTCCAGGAGCTGGCAGTGCTGTGCAGAGCACCCCTGAACTCCAGGCACAGGATGAGGCCTTGAGACAACGGAAAAGTCACCTGCGATGAGTATTTTGCAAACAAACACCATCTGCACCATAGCCCCAGGCCTGTCTCCATGCACCGGCCACCGGCCCCGCCGCTGTTCCACATCAGCGTGTCGCAGCCTGACGCTTTCACTGTGGTGCCCTCCTCCTAAGGGGCTAGAGAACCATAAGAACGTAAGAAGTACATTTAACATTACTACAGGCTTCCTCCCCCCCTTCGGCCTTCACCCACACCGGGCGTGCAGCCCTCCAAGGCCAGGCCGGGGATTAATCAGCAAACCACCGTCCTGCCAGCCAGGGCAAGGAGAAGAAAAGACGGAACAAGAGGACAATGGCGACACGATTTTAGGTTCGCTCAGGACAGACAACAGAGAAGATTGCATAGAAACATGGAATCATCTAGGTTGGCCATGTCTCAAGGCACATGCAAAAATATATCCACAAAGCACAGATTTTCTTAAGCAGTAGCTCAGGTGTACATGTCCATGTGTGGTGCCCGTCTGAACTGGTGAGAGCCCTCCACGGACCTGAAGCGGTCCAGAACAAAGCAAAATGGGTACCAAGAGATGCTCCTGGATCGTCACCATCAACAGGGCAGGGGGAGAGGGGAGACAGCAACGAGACCTCTGCGATGCACTAACTCTCCTGACACAGCTGCTCCTCCCCGGGACGGCAGCACGGGCTACCTGGGGGCACGGGGAAGATTAATGGCAAGTAGCTGCAGGAAAAACCCCAGAAAAGGAAACATTTTATTATTTTTCTTCTTTGGTGGGTTTTTTTTTTTGGCTATTAAGTCCAGGTAAGAGAAATTCCTGCAAGACATGATCAGTAGCATGATAAAGAAATTGCCCTGCAAGGTACTGTGATAAATTTAATCCATATTTGCTTTGAAGAAAGAATGATAAATAAGGCATTTATGGAAAAAGAGCAGCTCGGTGTGATGTTTGTTGTGCTACCCACAGCACAACAGCGTAACTGGAGGCACTTGTACCTTGGCCATTGCTAACAAGACAGTGAACCATTTTCCATCTCGAGACGATGTATCGGACCTCAGGCAACAACAGTTTCTTTTTTCTGCTTCTGTCAAAGCCCCTGGCAAAACTATTAACTTTGATGAGCTCTCTGGATATAAAGAAACACTGAGAAACCATCAATTCCAACACGGAAGTCTAAGGTGCCTCTGATTACATGGAGCAATCCATGCAAAGGCAGACTCACGACAGCCCCTCCAGTTTTACGGAGACGCCCAGCAGGACAGATGTGCGACCAGACTGAAATTCTGGTTTCCATATCCTTGGAGGCCATTCCGTAAACTGGGATTGCCATCTCTAACTTAGATGTACATCACTGCACAATTAATTCCGTAAATAATACTTTACAGAGCAAGAATTGTTTGGTTTTCTTTGGCTTTTCAAATGAATTTTAATGATAACAAAAAGGACACTTTCATCCTATCACTTCCAGAGTCATCAGAGCGAGATTAAAATGGTATTTCATCATCTGGTCTTTTCCGATTCCAGTGAGGTACGGGCACACAGCTGCCTTGCTGTCTACAACAATATACTCGGAAAAGGCTATGCAGATATTCCAAATTTATCCCAAATGACCGTCTTTAAAGATAACAACAAATCAAAAAATGCTAGAGATGACGAGCATGGCCAGGAATCTCTGCCTTGTCTCGTTCCACC